AAATAACTCATGAATTACTTGTAAAGTTTTGATTTTATTAATAAAAAATATAAGTTACTCGCTAACTACTCTACTAGTTAACAAGCCTAGATAAAACCTTTTAATAAACTTATTTTTAACTAAAATTTTCAATTAAAAATTTAAAAATTTATTAGAGTTTGGCTTTTAAGTGATTTAAAAATAAATTTTAATAAAATTAAAATTTATAATTCTTTTTTGAAACTTATATTTAAATCATTTAAAAAATCAGATTAATTTTATTCTCAAATAATTTTTTAACTGTGTAAGAGTGCAAAAAGGCTTCACCAATCGGACCAAAGCCTCATGGTTTTAGATGTCTTCTCTTTTGCTAATGTAGGATATTGGATTGATCCTTAGCGCAGTATCGTTCTACGAATTGTGAGGCTATTGCTACACCATCACACCATTTATTGTTAGTGCTACACGATTTTAAAGTTGTTGACTAATTTAACCCTTAATCATTCACTACTAAAAAACCATTTTTCAGCAACATGGGAGCACATCGGTGAAAGTGCATCCCATGTTGCTGAAAGTCTTCTAGCAACAAGATGCAAGTTGCTGATATCTTTGTTGGAGATACTGTGCTCGCTGATACATCAGCAACAAGGTTCACGTCGGTGATTCCTTGGACCCTTTTCAGCAATATGCACTATGATGCTGAAAGTGAAGTTTCACCAACGTTGTTTATCTTGCTAAAAAATTTACCGGAGCTGGTAATCGGAGTTGTGCAACCTTTTCAGCAACATGAAGTATGTCGGTGATAGTATATTATCACCGACATGGTTTATGTTGCTAAAAATGGTCACCGGAAGTGTTTGTCGGAGTTGTGCACCCTTTTTAGCAATATGGGCCTTGTTGTTGATACTTCTATGAATAGTAAATCAACTTAGTTTCAGCAATAAGAGTCTTGTTGCTGATAATTTATGAAATAGTCAACCCAAGATGTTTTAGCAACAAGACTCTTGTTGCTGATAATTAAATGAATAGTACCCTACCTTATTTTCAGCAACAAGAGTCTTGTTGCTGATGACTCCATGAATAGTATTGTGCAGATTCATTCACCTTAACTACCACTGACATGTTCCACGTCGGTGATAGTCCAATGCCAAATTGATTGCTTTTTTCGTTGAGAAGTGGGTTTGTTATTATTTTTTCTTAAGTTTTCATTGAT